ACTCGACGCAGATTCCTAACTACCCGACAGTGGAACGTCATCGGTTTAATACAAAAAAATGAAGTTACAGTAGGATTTGAGAACGTATGGGAGGGGTTACGTCTTTCTGTTTATTTTGGTACATTATCATTATAATTTCATCGGAATATCGTACAATCATGTCTCTACAAATAAATGATGCAATCAACGCACACTCGGAGGAAACATTAAGAGATTGGTTGATATTAATGGCAATGCAACGTAGTGGTGAATTGAGTACATGCTAAATAGTCTATAGACATGTCTCCAATTTATTAATTTATAATAATAAAAATACCTTTGACGTTACAATTATATGGCATCGTCATAAAGGTAACCGATTGTAATTAAATGTAATGTAATGCAATGCAATATAGTCTAGTCTAGTGTAGTGTAGTGTAGTGCAGTGTAGTGTAGTGTAGTGTAGTGTAGTGTAGTGCAGTGCAGTGCAGTGCAGTGCAGTGCAGTGTAGTGTTGTGTTGCTTTACATTGCGTTGCGTAAACAATCAAAGTAATTTGGACTTTACGGGTTGTCTCCTGCAGGGAGTTTAGAGTCTGGTCCAATTGATGGAAACACGGGTTACCATTAATATTTTGTACCATTGTAAACAGGGCACTGATTTGTGTAAACTAAAAACCTTGTTATAATTAGTGAGGATGACTGTTTCAACTATTATAGTGGTTAATGTTGCATTTGTTTAAAACGCTTTGATACATTGTTGAAATCAAGGCTGTTGGAGTTGTTCGTGTCACTCGAATATGTTTGATGTTAGGTTATGTTCCTAGTAAAACCAGTCTTACCTTAGATCCGTGTTGTTCGAATGTGTCTTAAGCTTTCCGCTCCGTTGTAAATTGAGAAGATTGGATTCCAGTGTATATATATATTATATATGTTATCTGTATATACACCCAGCAAACAACGTGCATTATTGGTAGTTTGAAGGCGGATATCAATCAGACTTGATTATTCATATGTAAGCCTCAACACACCATGTTCTCACCAGTATCAGAAACTATCCTACAGGAAGTGCCGGTACGCTAATGCCGATACGATGCCAAATCTCCGCTCTAAATACACCGAGAACGCGAGTCAGACAAAGCGTAGGTTCTTTTTATTTACGTCTGTCAACAGACCCCTCATGATAAAGCAAAATATCCACTTAGTCAATGGCACTGATCGCCGGGGATGTTGATGTGAGCTCGGTGAGAAACGATATTTATGTTGAAACAAACCTAGCAAATGTATCAGCGAATTTACCATAAGATGAACAGAACATAATTTCGAGAAAATATTCAAATACGGCGTGTATCTGATTTTTCTATGAGACGACAGGTGTAACCAATATGCATAGCAAGATATTTGAACTATGTGTGATTAAAACTAACATTGAGGGAATTTGTGTCGAAACCAAAAGTTTGAACTATTGCCAAAACTTGTGGAATTTAGGGAAGCCTGCCAGGATTCTATTTATCATACGGGTATAACTAAACGTATTTTTTTAAAATTTAGACATAGTATTCCAAATTCAAAAATGAAATTGTTGGCAACTACAGCTCAGTGGATAGATAGTACGGTTATTTTCTCGTTAAGTTAAGGTGACGAATGAACGTGATGCTTACACACAAATCAGCGCTTCTCCGATTTCACAATTTCCAGATCGGCATGCAAGGGGTCACAATAATTTGACCTTTGAACAAAATCCAGATGATAAGAATGATAACAGCAATCCTTATGACTTGTTTGAAGCACTATGAAGGGGAATGTGGTGGGTTTAATCCAAGGACTGCGAACACCACCCCGAAACAGCCTTACATCCGAATTAATTTGTTTGGCTCGAATCCACAAAATTCAGTATAATGGGGGTAGGACTCGAAATACATTCATATAACCAAATGCGAATTAGTAGTGGGTGTTTTTGCATAGCTTTTGGATGAGCCTGCATCCCCAAAGAAACTCATAGATGGGCATAGTCCCCGTAACAGCAAGCTTACGTATATTGTAATAGGTCCAGGATTTGTAAAATAAAACATAGTGCACGACTTACCATTGCCTAGGATCGAACGAACACCGATTTGTGTTTTAAAGGCGGCTGAACATGTATACTCTATATTAATAGAAACGTTGAAGTTTTATCTAATTATGCAAAATATCACAACCACATCCAACACTTGACATTGGTTTATTCTATAATACTTAATACAAACCTGAATTGTTAGTATCCCTATACAAATACAAATATTTGCCTATCGAATTGTATACAACTGACGAGCATTGCAAACACATCAATTCGATATTTAGTTTGAATGTCTGATATTTATTTGAGATAAAGTAGAATTTATTTTATATTTTGCCACTCGCCTAAAACGAAGTGTTCAATTTGAGATAGATTATAATTTTACTGCAATAAGTTGTCCACATTGCCTATTTCGAACAGCGGGGTATTCCATTTCCAACTTACACAAACGAATAAAAGTGAAGGTCACGAATTTGCGATACTGACCCAACATGACCTGGTGTAATGACCTGTTGAGTAAAATCGAACATAAATAAGGAGTCCACTTAGGAATTGGGAATCCGTCTCAGCACTTATATCTCAAACTTTATAACAAAGCGATCTTTTATGTTGATAATGCTTTTACATAAGACATCACGTAATACACTTTCGAACTTTTCAAAGAGGTTCTAAAAGGCTCTTAGTGAGATGGCTAATCCCATATGACGTGACACTGGGATATGGTAGCCTCATTTACTACGGAAAACCACGGTTGTCGTATTTCATGTAATACAAGATATGAGTTAGATCAACAAATAACAAATGTCCGTGAAAAATCCCGGAACTGCTGATATAGGCTGATACATAGAGCACATTCACTTCACAGGAAGGCTTAAAATATATGATTGCACTATTAACACGCGAGAGAGAGCACACGTCTTCATCCTATATTGTTTATTTAGCCAAGGTAACCCCTGACGTGCACGACCTCATTACTGCAGAATATACACTGCATGGAACAAGCCCAGTTTTGGTGAATCTGGAGTATCAGAGAGATCTGCTAGCTTTATTTTCTCGGTGGCACGATTTCGCCAATACATGACGTCATTTCTATATTATGCAACATCTGCAGAGCAACATCTGCGGAGCAGGTCGGTTTCAAAACAGCAGTAGTAAATACCGAGCACGTCTTTTACGGGTAGTTGACCTGTGCGTGTGTATACTTCCACACAGACAAACAGTTACCAGTAAATGTGATCACTAGCTTATGGCACAATAGTGTAATACGTTTAGTTACACATTGGTACTGTTACTACATCCAGTATTTTGTCATTTCTATTTATCGGGAGGGCTGAAAACCCCTTCTCACCCTACCCCACATAAAATGGTAATGTAGTGTAGTGGTTTGTGTATCATAGTGCATATATGTCTTCCCTTAGATCTGCACTTTTCTCCTTACGTGTAATATCTGGATGTCTAATATAGGCATATCTCCTTCCAGCCATGCATCGAGTTACAGTTCTAGAACAGGACACAACGTAATGTAATGTAATGTGATTTACTATTCGTTGACTATTGTCTATACGGGATATTACATTACGTCACTGGTCTGTATTAGTATATGCCCGAGTGTCACTGTGATATTCGACGAAGGTCACACAAATTGATGAATCATCACATTAAACATACATTACTATAAATTTTGATGCAAATGAGAGAGAGTCATTGAAAACAAGTCTGCCACTTTTGATCTGATCATGAAAAACAAATTGACATGAACATGTATTCCAATATGAATAAACAAGCCATGCATGGCACAGTCCCCGTTAGTTATCAAATTTAAGATATATAGTTTTGTTTATAGTAATATAGCTGGAATACAACCATGTCAGGAATATGATTTCTTAACATTAAAATGATTTACATTTACTCTGGAACAGCATTCAAAATCAGCCATTTTGAATACATGTATATATATAACATGATTTATAACGAATATATAAAATTTGAATATAATCAGTCAAACGTGCATCGGGAACCCGTAATGTCTAATGTATGTACCAAGTTTGAACGAAATCCACCCAGAAATGCTTGATATTTGATGATTTTTTAGCACAAAAATGGCCACCATTTGGCCATTTTAAATAGGATGGTCAAACCAATATATCTGTCTATCTATGACATGATTTATAAGGAATATTTAAAATTTAAACATAATTAGTGAAAGCAAGTCAGAGATATGGCACGAGAACCACATTCATTAAAACAAAATGGCCGCCAGACAACCATTTTGAATCTTATCTGAAAAACATAATGTCTAATGTATATACCAAGTTGGAACAAAATCCATCTGTAAACAGCCGAGAAATGCTTGATTTTTAGGATTTTTAGCACAAAAATGCCGCCATTCGGCCATCTTGAATCAGATCGTAAAACAAAATGATGTGCATCAAGGTCCTATAATGTCTAATGTATATACTAGTATCAAGTTTGAAAAAAATCATCTGTAAACAGCCAAGAAATCTTGATTTTGATTATTTTTAGCACAAAAATGGCCGCCATTCGGTCATCTTGAATCAGATCGTGAAACGAATTGACGTGCATATGTATCATGTATGATGTATGTATGAAGTTTGATTGTGATTGGTCCAGGCATTTCTAAGATACAGGTCCGGACGCACGCACTGATGCACGCACACACGCACGGACACACGGAGGTCAAAACATAAGTCCCCGTTTTCGGACTTCGTCCGAACGGGGACTAAAAAGGGTCCCTAAGCCTTGGAGATATAGTAATATGTCAAAAGCAAGATGGCCACCATGCAGTCGGCCATCTTTTATACGATTGTAAAACAAATTGTCATAGACATATATCCTATCATATCCTATGTACCTAATTTGAACAAAAACTGACAAAGCATGCATATGCATAAGATAACACATTTCCGCTGCCAGTCAGCCATTCTATATTGAATCAATAAACCACTAAATATGTGTATGCCCCAGATAAAGTACTAAACCCATGTAAAGAATGAACAGATTTGGTCCACAAAGTTCTGAAATATGACTCTGCACGGACAGATGGAGACCAAATTATAAGTTCCAGTTTAAAACTTAGTACGACGGGAACTAATAAAAATTTGCCCATGCTTATTTGCTAAGCTTATATTATTGACAGTTAGTCACACTAATCAATTCACACACATATAAATCATAAACAACAATTTATTAACATATTGTTTTATTTATCTATGAAAAAAAAGAATGAATGAAAATGAACAGATTCTGGCATGAAACAAGAGCTGCGTTCAGTTTATTTGGTATGAAGAAAACCGCTCAATACAGACAAAAGCAGCATTTGAAACTTGCTGCCAAGTCACTCTAAATTGTATACCATAACCCGTCACTCCCTTTATGACCTTATCTATGTCTTTAAGTTTTGAATATAAACAGAGAAGGCATGTTGATAGCTACTGTGTTGGAAGGAGTAATTTAGACTGTGCAGCTGAATTATAAATATCATGCTCAGGTGGAAAGTTCAACTTTTTATATTTGCCCCTCCTCTCGTTTTTGGAAAGAGAAAAAAAAATCTTTTTATTCTTTAATAATACAAAAATAACCTTATCTTGGGCGATAATACTATACACCTTATAAATCAAATACTCTGTACATATGAGCAATTTCAACATAATTACAAGATATACAGGGACTTTAAAAGAAATTTCAGTAAAAAAAAAAAAGTTGCATGCAAAAATAATTTTTTTTTATTCACACACAATATCTTGGGCACAATTTTTACATGGCGAGCATGCTCTCAAAGCGGTTATTTAAAAGCATTTGTATAAATATGTGCAAGAAAAAATCTCTGTAGTCTTGGGGTGTTCCCCTACAAATTTCTATGGGTTATAAAACACGACACAATAAACAACTGAAAATAATACAACATAAATTACAATAAATAACTGTACATGCTTTAACCCATACTCATTATTGTGTATTTTCCAGTACTAGCATACTCAGTACCTACGTTTTAGTTTTTAAAAAAAATCTATATTTTGGAGGTATGTACAAGTCTACATTTTTTGTTTATACACAGTTTAATCACATAAAAATATATAATCTTTCTCTTGATTTGAAAATATGCTTTCTTTGTGATTTCATTTTTTTCTTCTATATTACGATTACTATAGTGGAATTATGTTAAAATACAAGTTTACCGCTTCAGTCCATGCAGCAATAATTAATTGCAGATGAAGGCACATAAAATCTTCAAAATCTTAAATTAAAAACAAAAAAAGATGCATTTTGTTGTATTAAAGCTCATTGAAAACTAGATGTTTGTATTCTATATACATATCAATTCGGAAGATATTGCTCTAGTATGTCACATTAATTTAAATAAAGCTCAAAATTATTCACAAAAAAAAAACATATTTTTGTTAACTTATGGACGTTTTTCTCCAGCCAGGCCTAGTAATGGTAAAAAGCACCACATATCATGGATGGATTATAATATTTGGTTATTTTTAATAAAAATTATTTTGATTGAATAAGTTTTTTCCTTCCCCTCTACAATGTAAATGAAATCTCCAGTGATCACTCCTGGAGTGTGGTATATATATATATGTATATTCAAATTAGACGATCTTTGTGACATCACCACTTTGCAATAGTTTGTAATATACTTAGTAAACATCGTGTAACTTTCTGTGTGTACCACAGATTAATTCTTTGTTATATTACAATATAAACCTTTAAAAACTATCCTGTTTAAACACCAAGGAACAGAATACTCAGCAGTCTTTATAAATTTTCAATAGTCATTGTCATTTTGTTTCTTGTTTACCTTCCCATCTCTACAGGTAGACAAATATTCATATTTGTTGTAAGGCTTCCCCTTCCAACAAAATCCTCCAATGGAAATTTGGTATTTTTTGGTAAAATACATGTATACCAAAATCCAGGGGTTTTGGTTTAAACGTCAAATTCAGTTTAATTTTTTCATATCATCAACTCCGTATGAACTTGGAGGAATCAAGGTATTGTTACTGTCCGCCAATCTCAATGTAACTTCTCATGTACGCGATGCATAATGGTTGTCGCCGTGCGATCAAATTAAGAAGTCTCATTGGCAGGTCTCCTTTCAGATCAATCTACATTGAAAAAGCAGAATGACATAACATGAGTGAATGTGGCAAAAAGCAAGAAGGTCATAAGAATGCAATTTCTAAAACTAGTGTTTTTTTCACCAACCGACCTATCCTATTTTCAGAGATACAGATTTGCAATTCATTGACTGTGTCAGTACAAGTCTTAGTATGCAGAGAAGATTAACATTGCTAGAACACACAAATCTCAATATTTGAACACAGCATGCAGACACACAAACACGACTTACCATCGTTGTAACAACACACATACGATTAATTTTTAATATAGTTAAATTAACTTTTAAAATAGTTGCGATATGAACTTGATTAAAATGTGTTATTATATATAGGGCTGCGTTTTAATTGGAGTTTAATTAAACTCAATTGCAATGCAATTTAATGTAGAATTGCATTTTAATTAAATAAAAGTTGAATATCCTGTGACTTAACATGGAAAAGTTTGCGAAGCTTAGGTTTAGTAAAGGGGGTAGGTATGGTACAATATTATAATACAATTATATTAATTTTACTATAAATTGAACTATACTTTCCCCTATTATTAAATCTAAGCTATCCAAACTTTACTTAAATTTGATTAAATATTATATAAATTATGAAAATAGTGAGGATGGTCACAATGTAGGTCCTGTCGTCACAAGTCATTGTAAAGTTAAATTGAAGTCATCACAACATTGGTACCACACACACACACACATACACACAACTGAGAGATTCAATCAAAAGCTGACAAACATGAAAAAGACAATGAAAAAGACAACATACCTGTGTTATATAAAATACTTTACAACACTCTCTATTACCAATCGTGATAGGTTCAATAACAGCACCAGCGCTAATTACCTAGCAAGTGAAAACACCAATATAATTAGTCAGTGAAAACAAATTACAGCTATGAATGAAATCAGAAAATAATATACAAAATATGATAGGTATATATGTGATGGGCTGACCCACTGGGTTACTTTTCTCCAAAAATCTGTAGATATGGGCCAACTTTTTAGACAACAAAATTCCATGGGTCAGATTTGGGAAAACCTTAAAAAAGTAAGGTTTTAGGGAACAAATTCAGATAAAATTTCACTGGAATGACACAATTTTTACCAAAAAAAGTCCCCAGAAATGGCATCATTTTATCAAAGAGTTCATTTTTTTTGTCATGTTTAAACAACAATTTTTTCACAGATTGATGTTTTGAGCACCACCCATTAGATTTGAGAATATAGGGTCTTTCAAAGAAAGGGGAATGTCAAATAGAAGTACTCAATTGCTATTTACTAGACTGAAAACAATGCACATCTTTGGTAGGCAACAATTTCAACAGAAAGGGATAAGTAATCTAAACCTTGAAAAAAGTATAGCATTATTGAATTCCTTCAAGCCAAAAAACAGAGTTGGTTGCACTTTCAAGGGGATTGATAAAGCGTAATTCCTGCAGAAATTCAATATTAGCACTGTTGCAGAAAGTGATTTGCACAAAATTTATGCCAATGCATACACACTATGCCAAGTATTGGACATGCTCTGTCAAGCTTTAGAATAAAAGTCAAAACACTTGAGCTAACACACTTTGGTTTTCTGCCAAAAGGCAATTCCTGTCAAAAGAAAATAAAAAGTTTATATTGTACATACCTCTGCACGAACTGAACTATCGGTTGATGGGCAGCTGGGGTGTTGTACAGAAGTGGCGGCTACAACATATCTGCCATCCTGCAAGGAAAGGATTAAAGAATAATAAACAATAATGGCTTTTTAATGTTGAAATAAATCACGTAGTACATATGGATATAATCATTACGATCCCATCCAACTTTGAAATAAGCCACTTACAGTTATCAACTACTCCATTACATAGCCTAATAGGTGTAAAAGAACAGCTGATAACAACAAATAGCATAATCTACTTAGAACCCTAAAATAGTATTTCTGGACCTGGTATTATTAGAACTTTCCCTTCTGGGTTCACATTACACAGACCCCCAATTACTATGCTCATTTGAAACTGATTTCTGTAAATGCATGCAAGTCATGAAGTTAATCACGTAATATTGACCTGAAAAAGTAGATGCCTAACTGATTATGCTTATGTACAGTTGTGTGGGTGATAGCGAGGTGGAAGGGGTATTGTCAGCTTAGTACTTTGTGACGTGTGCCACAACATGCAGATAAAATAAGTTTGAAACATTCCTTTTATAGTTAAAATGTGTAGCAGATTTGACTAAATTCTCAAATAAATTTCTTGAACCAAATGAATATGTAGACATACCTGTACTGAATCATGCTGGACAATGCATACGTCTCTACTCTGATTTAGGAAACAGTGAGCGGTCTCATGTAGCATATACACTATTTGGACATTTTCACACACTTTGTCTATTACTTTCAGCTTCTACAAGTGAGGATAAATTGAAACATTTGTTAAACTAATAATCAAACTAACACAGAGAGACCCAAACTTCTTCAGTCTGGGTAAACATGCAGAAAGTAAAATGTGTCTATTATTCCAGCTTGCCCGTCAATATTGAAGTGGGCATTTGGCACAAATATATCTGATAAGCTGATAAAGATATGACAATATATGGACTATGAAATACTTTATTTTCACAGTTTATTTAGGATAAATGTTTTGGGGGAGAAATATTCAGATGATTTTATACATGCAAGTCACAGGATAATTGTGTTTACGAAATCAGGCAAATTAAAATTATTCTATTTGCAAGCTATAGCATATACATTCATGGTGGTAGTTAGTGTAACGTGAGGGTGGTGAATGAAATCATGAAATACACTACACTATTTTTAATCCTTTTTTCCCACAAAATGTATAGACATCAATTGCAGAGTACTGCAGCAAACGAGACTCAGCATTGATCAAAACGCAACTTTTTAGAACCAGATAAACCGACATAATATTTTAAAAGTTTCATCAATCTGAGAAATACAGCAATTGTCGCTGCCTTCAATATGGCAATTGTGTGAAAGAATCCAATTTACCTTCAGCATTCTGTCATACAGGTATCTGGTTGATGGATTTCGAATGATGTTGTAGACTGAACTAGCAGGAGCCTGGATTATTCCTATGCCCATAAAACTGGGGAAAAAGAATATATTAGATTATCATACAAGACACAGACTTCAAAAATCTACGATTTCAGAGTATTATTCAGTCAAAGCATATTTACAGAGCAGAATTCAGTACATTGAGAAAATCTGTCAAGAAACAAGCTGCTCTGTGATTGGCCTGACTGTTTTAGGGTTGGGTAGCCAATCAGCCACAATCTTGTAGGCGATATCCCATTGACTCAAGTGACTTACCTATGGACTGGGTTGTTGGTGTGTTCTTTACGCAGGATAACAACATCCCTTTCTATACCTTGAAAGCTATGAACAATAAATAGAATATTTCAAGAATGTTATACTCAGTGACTC